ACAGACACACAGACATACAGACATACAGACACAGACACAGACACACAGACACACAGACACACACACACACAGACAGACACAGACACAGACACACACACACACAGACACAGAGACACAGACACACAGACACACAGACACAAACACACAGACACACACACACACACACTCACACACACACACACCAACCAACCAGCACCCTAGGGGTTTGCATGAAATCCAATACCTACCTAATGCGAACGATCTTCACAAATCCGTTCCGAGATCAAACTCGTTACTCGCAGACCCTAGACCCCATTATAGAACCCTACAGAACCTGGACAGGAACCGAGATCCCGACCAGTGTGGCGTAGAGCCATTGCAGGTCCCGTGCTGCAGCGTCCACGAGCCTCGGGCTTTAGGACTTTCTAGGCCGTTCGACACCCAGGACTTGCTTGCAGGAGCCAATGGGTAGTTCTCTGAATTAGGGTCCCTGTTTAGGGTCCTTTTTATGTGGGCGCGGTACTGTTTTGGGACCTAAAAAGGGACCTTAATTTACAGAACTATCCATATGATATATGAGAAGGGGAGAAGCGAACCACGACCAAAACATCGAATAACCCTAGACCCTAAAACCTTAACCCGAAAACATCGAACAACACAAAAAATAAACAAGACATAGCTGCAAAGGAGCAAGACCAAAATGCGCTAAACCCTAAACCCTAAATTACTAAACCCCAAACCCTACGCCCTAAACCCTGAATCCTACACCCTAAACCCTTTACGCCCTAAGTCCTAAACCCTAAAACCCTAAACCCGGTAAGCCGGAGGCGCTGGTTCCACAAGGGGCTCAAGGCCACGCACTCGTCGAAGGCCCGGCGCGGAATCTTGAAGGGCAGCATCGCCTCGTCTGGGCTCTTGCTAGGGGATTTTATTATTTTCAGGTTATCATAATAAGGAAACCATGTGATTTTCATTTAAAGGTTACCAAAATAAGGAAACCATGTTATTTACTATAGATCCCTATTGTGGTAATCTAAATAAAAACCCCTCCAAAGAACCCAGTAGGAGAGCTCTGTGGGGGATCTATAGCAAAGAATATGGCTTCTTTAGTAAGCAAGCTGAAGATAAATCCCCTGGCATCGCCTTGGAAGTCTCAGCATTTCGGGCTTTAGGGCTTTAGGCTTTGGGGCTTTAGGGCTCAAGGGCTTCAGGGCTCAAGGGTTTCAGGGTTTAGGGGTTAGGGCTTAGGGCTTTAGGGCTTAGGGCTTAGGGCTAGGGATTATAGAAATTAGCGCTTAGGGTTTTGGGTGGATGTTCTGCTGAGGATTCGGAGTTATAGGCAAGCTATAGGGCATGGTATGCCGGTATGATGCCTTCTTTAGGATTCCAGGCACCGTCAGCAAACGTCTCTGTCGCATTCAATTCTGTCACCAGGAGAGCTTTGCCCTCCCAAACCCCTGCACGGTCGAGAAAATGCAAACCCCCCGGAGCAGCTTCAAAGCACGCAGCAGACCAAACGGTCAAAAACCATCCCCCCCATAAAAGAAGGGCAGTGAGGCCCCTCGGCCGAGCGACAACCGGGCACTGCGTAGCGGCGCTGGCATCCGAACTTCTGTCCTGTCCCCAAGCCAAAGCAAGCAGGTTCATACCTCTGCAGAAACCTTCCGTTGTGGACCCAACTAAGCCCCTAGCTCGGTTTAGGGTTGAGGCTAAACCCCAAAAGCCTGAGACCTGAAACCCCGAAACCCTACCTAATCGCGGTTTAGGGCTTAGGGTTTAGGCTAAACTGAGACCTGAAACCCCGAAACCCTAGCCCCATCGCGGACACTGCAGTTCTCTCTGTTCGTCCTGTCCTTGGCCCCATAGAGCAGCCCATGAAGCTCGGCAAACCTGCTCTGTAATCGGTTTATGGGCTTATAGGGTTTAGGGTTTAGGGAGGAAGGCGGATAGAAGTTTAAGCCGTGCTCGAATGGAAGCTGTAAGGCACACATGCTGGTGGAGGTGGCATGTATCAGACGATGCAGAATTTTGGCTTTTGAGGCCGAAGGTTCACAGAGTTCGAACCTTGGGATGCATGCTGTGCAGTGCACGGCTGACCTGGCTGAATCATCTCTGCCGTTGTAATGGCGCAAAGGCTGGGCTGGAGGCTTCGACATCGATTGAGTCTTGCCAAAAAAGTACGACGCTCGATCTATTCCGGAATTTGCGAATAAGTGACGTCAGTGAAACCGAAAAACTCCAACTGAAACTGTCAGGACTTGCTGAAAATATCCATCCCATACTGAAGCAGGCATGGGAATATCGCCGGGAAGACCACCGAGGTGTTCTGAGGCACCCGACTGAACAGAGTGGGGGAGGAGTCGCTGTGCAGCCGCCTCTCATCATGGAGCATACACAGACACGGTTTAGGGTTTTAGGTTCCGGGACCCCTGAAACCTCAAGTCGCAAATCCTGAAACCCTAGTGCCCCAAGCCCTACATAAACCGTTCTGAAAACCTGTTTTTCCGACTGAAGCCTTCGACCTGTTCATAACCTATGTGTAGCCACCCTTACAGGGACCCTTACGGGAGCCCGCTGCTATGTTAAACTAAACCCTAAACCCTAAA